CTTGAATTAGAGTTGGCTTTTTTTTTTTTTTTTTAAATATGACTTTTTAAATATGCTCATATTTTGAAATATGCACCAAACAATATCATTTTTCAATTTACTGATTACTACAGGACCTTTCACAAAAACTAGTGCATTACTGCTTAAACAATAACTATGTAATAAAATATACAGCATAGAACATTTTATAAAAACATATTTTTGAAAGTATAAAAAAGTATTAATTTTATAAGATAAAAATTGATTATTTACCTGTTACTATTAGGGCTGTGCTATTAAAAATTGTGGCCAATATGATATGCCGATATTAATTTATTTTAGAACTAATTAGGTTATAGCTAAAAAACCGGTAAATTGCTAATTAAAATTCTGTATTATTTTGTATAATTAAAAAATAAAATCAATCCTTTCAAAAACAAAAGTATCACAACATTTTAATGTACAATATGAAAAATTGATATTCGTTTCAATATTTGTTAAAGATAAAATTATTAGTGTTTTTAAAGATAAACCCTAATGGTGTGTGCACACCATAAGCAAATTTAATTGTTTGCGCGAATAGATTACATACAAAGTCAATGCAAAGACGCGAATAGATGCGATAAAATTAGTGATGGCAAATGTAATCTGACTGTAAAAATGAAACTGAACATGCACAAAAAAAAAAACGTTAAATTTAAAAAAGCTAATGTAGTATTGATATATTCTGCATCCCTAGTTACTATATTGTATATTTCAGCACTGCAGGAATACTGTGACAATCAGCAACGCAAAAACTGCCATGTTTCAAGATTTCAGGAGACTATAACATGGCTTTTCTAAAACAGCTCAGAGGCCGAAACCTCTCTGGCCATTCACTCCTCAGGGCCACCTCCATAATGACAGCGCAAATATTACACTGCGTTTGAGAAATGGATGCATCGGGCGTCATTATGACACTAGAAATGGCTCTCGTTCAAGTGCTAATTAATAGGCACGGTGTGATTTGTTCTCAGATGCGACTGTTTGTTTATGTGCTGGAGCTTTTGATTGGCTGCGGGTCTGCAGAAGTCGTGTGGGCTGAATCCCAAACCTGTGGAAGAAAAATTACCTTCATCTCTGGAATAATCCTCTCCGGAGTGAGGCTCAAACAGGTAATCGCCTGTTGCCAGCTCAAATGCCTAGGGAGAGACACACTTTGAGAACGCATGCGTGTGTGTGTGTTTGTGGAGATAGCAATCCTAGTATCAAATTCTCTAGGAGGTAGGCTAATGTCTGAAAGGCCAAACCAACCTTCTCAGCCCTGCTCGGACTGAAGCCAGCACACAGTGAGTGCAGCTCACGAGACTCTATTGTTACGCAGTGGGTTTGAAATGCTGATTCAGACCGAGTTTAACCTCTCTTGGTGGGTCTGGCCCTACTGCTTAAAAAAGGTGCAGAGTCTGTGCACTGCGGAGCAGGACAAACGCCACGGGACCGGCGTCAGCAGCGCTCGATGAAACGCTCGGAGAGCAGAAGTCAGTCATAGAGTCACCTTCCTCCAAGACCTCTGACTCCAGCCTGACTAGACATTAGCTCTGTTCCAAAAACTGTTGAGCTGCCGCCCTAGACAGCATTACAAGACACTATGGGTGTCCAAAATAATGCAAAAAAGCAGTCATATCCTTAACAACATGCTAATATAAAAATACTGAAATGAAAATTTTAATGTCAAGACATTACTTCAACAAAATGCTAACACAAAACTATTGAGATCAAATTTGAGTAGAGACATTACTTTAGCAACATGCTAATGCAAGACTATTGGAATCAAATTTGCATTCATTACCTTGTCAACATGTTAACAAAACTCCACTGGAATCAAATTTGCATATTGAATCATTACTTTAGCAGCATGCTAATGCAAAGCTACTGGAATGAAACTCGAGTGTTGAGTCATTACTTTA